TCTGTCTAGAGGAGAGGAGTTTGTGCCTATTCCAAGGAAAGTTGGATAATTTTATGCGAATAATTCCCAGAGTAATTTTGTGCCGCTCCTAAACTGCAAAGGGGTGAAATTTCCTGGAGAATTCCTGGAGAATTCCTGGAGAATTGGATGATCCCAGCTCATTTTAGGTGGTTGAAAGTTGATTTTGCTTTCCTGGGGAAAATCCTTGTGGTTTTTCCCATGGGTTGGGGCTCCTTTGGAGTTACTTTGAATTCCCAAAGCTGGAGCTGCTTCCTCCAGGTGGTGCTGGAAAAAAAAGCTGGAAAAGCTGCCAGGATTTTGAGTTTTTTGGGGTTTTTTTTTGCCAGGATTTTGGGGTTTTTTTGCCAGGATTTTGGGTTTTTTTGCCAGGATTTTTGGCTTTCCGTTTTTGTTTTTTTTTTACAGGATTTTGAGGATTTTTTGCCAGGATTTTGAGGAATTTTTTTTGCCAGGATTTTAAGTTTTTTGGGGTTTCTTGTCAGGATTTTCGGGGAGTTTTGCCAGGATTTTGTATATTTTTTTGCCAGGATTTTGGGGTTTTTGTTTTTGGTTTTTTTACAGAATTTTGGGGATTTTTTTGCCAGGATTTTGGGGTTTTTTTGCCAGGATTTTGGGTGTTTTGATTTTTATTTTTTTCCAGGATTTTGGTGTTTTTTTGCCAGGATTTTGGGTTTTTGGGTTGGGGTTTTTTTTGCCAGGATTTTGGGTTTTTTTTTGCCGGGATTTTGGAGGGTTTTTGCCGGGATTTTGGGTTTTTTTTGCCAGGATTTTGAGATTTTTTTGGTTTTTTTTGTTGTTGTCCTGTTGTTCCACAGATGGAATCAATGTTGGAGGGACTGCAATCTTGCATTTATTATATTGCATATTATATGTATATACATATATATGTATATATTGTATCATGTTATATTGATATTATATCGATATTACATTGATATATTATATCATGTCTTATATTATATTATATTATATTATATTATATTATATTATATTATATTATATTATATTATGTTGTATTGAATTGTATTGTATTGAATTGTATTGTATTATATTATATCATATTACATTATATTATATTATATCATATTATTAATTATTTACATTATACCTAAAATATAGTTAAAAGGGATTATAAATTGAATTATACCAAAATTGTCTTGATTAATAAGAAAAATAATATAATTAACATTTTAGATATTATTGCTAATAATTAATTGCTATCGTATTTTATATAATCAATGAATAATATTTGTAACAGTCTAAAGGCACAAAGAGAAACTCCATAACTCCGGTGTTGTTGCTCTGGGAATTCCATTCCAGCCAGGAATTCCTTCCCAAATCCCACCCCAATTCCCCTTTTCCAACCTGGAGCCATTCCCTGGCTCCTGCCCCTCCAGGCCTTTCCCAAATTCCAGCTCTCCCGGAGCCCGTCCAGGCCCTGGAATGTGCTGGAAGCTCTCCCTGGATCCTTCCCTTCTCCAGGAGAACATTCCCAGCTCTCCCAGCCTGGCTCCAGAGCCTGACATTGGATCCATCTCCTCTCCAAGGAATTGATGGACCCAGGGCCTTCCCTTGCAATCTCAGGAAGCCACCAAGGCTCTCCCTTCCCTTTCCCTCTCTTTCCCATCCCCATTTCCCAGAAAAATCCCTCGGGATGGATTCGGAGCCTCCCAAATCCCAGAATCCCGGAATGCTTTGGGATGGGATCCAGGGACCTTCAATCCCATCCCATTCCAATCCCACCATCCCAGGCTGCTCCAACCCTTCCTTGGCCATTCCCAGGATCCAGGGACAGCTCCAGCTGCTCTGGGAATTCCAACCCAGCCAGGAATTCCTTCCCAAATTCCCAACCCATCCATCCCTCTGGAGAATCTCCATGCTGGAACACCGAGGCCTCTCCGAGTTCCCGCAGGGAAAAATCACATTTTCCGACACGGATTCCCCATCCTCGCTCCCTCTCACTTGGAATTTGCGGTGGGATTTTCCCTTGGAATTTTCACTTTAGGGAATCTTTTCCTTTCTCGTTTTTCCATGTGGAAGCTGGGATGAGGAGATCCAAGAGGAGGCACCTGACGGCTCCGGAATGCCGAGCTCTGGCCGAGAGCTCCGAGGTTCCGTCGGCGTTGCGGCAGCCGCGGCACCTGGAGCGAGGAATCCGCGGCCTTCGTCCCATCCCGCGCCCTCGGAGCCGCTCCACAGGTACCGCTGGAATTCTGGGATGCTCCAGAGCCAGCTGGGAATGTTCTGGAATCCAGGGAGAGCTCCCATCACATTCCAGGAGATAAAGGGGCTCCAGGAGAGCTGGAATTTGGGAAAGACCCGGAAGGGCAGGAGCCAGGGAATGGCTCCAGATTGGAAAAGGGGAGATTGGGGTGGGATTTGGGAATTCCCAGAGCAGCTCTGGATTCCAGGAATGGCCAAGGAAGGGTTGGAACAGCCTGGGATGGTGGGATTGGAATGGGATGGGATTGAAGGTCCCTGGATCCCATCCCAAAGCATTCCGGGATTCTGGGATTTGGGATGCTCCGAATCCATCCCGAGGGATTTTTCTGGGAAATGGGGATGGGAAAGAGAGGGAAAGGGAAGGGAGAGCCTTCATGTTTTAATTTAATTTTTATTTTTAAATATTTTAAAATTTTATTTGGTTAGGTTTTATTATTTCTTTCTGTTGTTTTCCATTATTTTTATACTTTTTATGGCTTTCTTTTTATATTATGTATTTTCATTTTGTTTTATTTTTTTTTATATCATATTTTGAATAAAGTTTTACTTTCTATTTTCTTTTTCCTTTTTATTTTACGTTTTTAAAAGTTTTACTTGAATTTGTTTTAATCTGATATAAATTTTTTTGGTTTATATCAGATTTTCATTAAATTTTTATTTTAATTTTTAATATTTTTTCTATTTTTAATTTTTTTCCATTTTATTTTGTTTGATTTTATTATTTTTATGTTGTTTGACCTTATTTATTTTCATGGGTTTCATATTTTTGTTTTTATATCCTTTTATTTATTATAATAATATTTTATTTCCTTCAGATTTTCATTGAATTTTTATTTTTCATTTTCTTTTTTATTATTTTATTTTATTTCAGTTTTATCCTATTCTATTTTATTACGTTTTATTTTATTTTATTTTTTATTTTATTTTACTTTATTTTATTTTATTTTATTTTATTTTATTTTACTTTATTTTATTTTATTTTCATTTTATTTCTGTTGAATTCGTCCCCTGATTTCCATGGAATTCATTCCCAGTTTTCTATGGAATTCATCCTGTGATTTCCATGGAATTAATTCTGACTTTTCCTTGGAATTCTTCCCCTGATTTCCATGGAATTCCTCCCCCTGATTTCCATGGAATTAATCCCCTGATTTCCATGTAATTCCTCCCCTGATTTCCATGGGCTCCATCCCCTGCTTTCCATGGAATTCCTTGCTTGATTTCCATGGAATTCCTCCCCTGATTTCCATGGGCTCCATCCCCTGCTTTCCATGGAATTCCTTGCTTGATTTCCATGGAATTCCTCCCCTGATTTCCATGGGCTCCATCCCCTGCTTTCCATGGAATTCCTTGCTTGATTTCCATGGAATTCCTCCCCTGATTTCCATGGGCTCCATCCCCTGCTTTCCATGGAATTCCTTGCTTGATTTCCATGGAATTCCTCCCCTGATTTCCATGGGCTCCATCCCCTGCTTTCCATGGAATTCCTTGCTTGATTTCCATGGAATTCCTCCCCTGATTTCCATGGGCTCCATCCCCTGCTTTCCATGGAATTCCTTGCTTGATTTCCATGGAATTCCTCCCCTGATTTCCATGGAATTCCTCCCCTGATTTCCATGGAATTCCTCCCCTGATTTCCATGGAATTAATCCCCTGATTTCCATGTAATTCCTCCCCTGATTTCCATGGGATCCATCCCCTGCTTTCCATGGAATTCCTTGCTTGATTTCCATGGAATTCCTCCCCTGATTCCCATGGAATTCATTCCCGCTTTCCCCCCCGTGCAGCCCCCGGCCGGCAGAGGAGCATCCTGGATTTCTGCGGGATCCGGAGCCGTGGGATCGAGGAGGATCCGTCGGATCCCTGTTCCCCTTCTCCTCCAGATTCCTGCCTTTTCCAGCATTCCCAGCTCTCCGTGCCACCTCCAACTGCACATTCCAGGAAAAGACCTCTTCCCTCTGCACCCTCAGGAATTCCCACCCCAGAGCTGGATCTTTGGGATGAACCCCAGGAGAAAATTCCCGAACTGCTCCAGCAGGAATGGGAAGAGCTGGAAGTGGAGCCTCTTCCCGATTCGCACTACGGCCTCCTGGGCACTCGGAACTGGGAATTCCCTCAGGGATCCATGGATTCTCTTCCTGCTGAAATCCTCAGGAATATTTTTGCTCTTCTGCCGGTGCTGGATCTGTACCAAAACCTGAGCCTGGTCTGTCATTCCTGGCGGGAAATTATCCGGGATCCGCTGGTGAGGAACGCTCTGGGATAATCCCATGGGATCTGCCTCCCTTTGATCCTTTAAATCCCATCCTTCTTCCCACAATCCATGAATTTTTAGGTTTCCTGGTATTTTTTTTTGGAATTTTTGGACTAAAAGTTGTTGCCCCATATCCAAAATTGGGTATTGGAGTAAGATTCCTTCTCATCCGTGGGAAAAAATCTGGAAGGTTCCATAAAATCTCCCTTCTCCTGTTTTTCCTGCTGCCTTTTTTCCTGAAAATCTGGAAGATTCCATAAAATCTCCGCTCTGCTGTTTTCCCTTCAGCCTTTTTCCCTAAAGATTCCATAAAATTTCCCTTCTGCTGATTTCCCTTCAGCCTTTTTTAGTAAAAATCTGGAAGATTCCATAAAATTTCCCTTCTCCTGTTTTCCCTTTGGCCTTTTTTCCTAAAAATCTGGAAGATTCCATGAAATCTCCCTCCCTTCCCCCCATTTTCCCCACTTTTCCCCCTCTAACCCCCTTTTTCTCCCTTTTTCCCCCCTTTTCCCCTTTTTTTCCCCATTTTCCCCCCAATTTTCCCCCTTTTTCCCTCATTTCCCCCAATTTTCCCCCATTTTCCCCCCTTTCCCCATCTCCCCTCCCCCCTCAAGCTCCCTTTCCAAACCCCATTTCTTTGGGAATCCAATCCTGGAATTCCCAGCGGTGAATCCCGCTGTTTTCCTGCTTCCCATTCCAGTTTATTCCATGGAAAAAGCTCTACCACCGCTACCTGATGGGGGAGCGCTCGGCCCTGCAGGGGGTGGAGCAAATCCTGCAGGAATTTTCCATCACCAAGGAAAACCAGGAATGTGTCCTGGGGCTGGTCAGGTGAGCCCAAATCCTCATTTTTTTCCACCCTTTGGGATTTTTTTTCCCCGGGAATTCCCTAAACAGGTGGGAAATGTGTGGGAAAATGGAGGAAGAGAAGGGATTTTGATAGGAAAAAATGCTGAAAACAGGAGCAAAATTTTCCTTTTCCTTAGGAATTCCTCAGGAATTCTCCAGCCCCTTCCCATCTCCCTCAGGAATTCTCCAGCCCCTTCCCAGCTCCCTCAGGAATTCTCCAGACCCTTCCCATCTCCCTCAGGAATTCTCCAGCTCCTTCCCAGCTCCCTCAGGAATTCTCCAGCCCCTTCCCAGCTCCCTCAGGAATTCTCCAGCCCCTTCCCATCTCCCTCAGGAATTCTCCAGCTCCCTCAGGAATTCTCCATCCCTAAAGGAGACTTTGAGACAGAAATTCCAGCCTGCAGAAATTTATTCCAAAAACCAGGAATTCTTTTCCTGGCGTAGGAACGAGCTGGAAATCCGTATTCCAACTGCTCGAAATTCCATGAAAAACATGGCAGGGATTAATGAAACTCCTCCAGCCACTCTGGGGGTGCTTTGGATGAGCCAAAATTTCCTTGGAGAATAAATCCCTCGTTATTCCTCCCGCACAGGTTGGTGGCATCCAAGGGAGCCAAGGTGGATCCCAACGCTCTTCTCCGGATTTTGGGAAGTCATCCCCTCTTCCCAAAGGCTCAAATCTGTGTCCACAACAAATTCCCAGATTTACTGAGGAAGCCTGGGGTGAGTTTCACTCAGTTTTTTTGGGATTTTTTTAAAATTCCTGCGGCATCTTCCGGATCCAGAGTTGTTGCTCTGTATCCAAAATCCATGTTGGAGCAACATTCCTGCCCATCCGTGGGGAAAAACCAGAAAAATCTGGAAGATTCCATAAAATCTCCCTTCTCCTGTTTTTCCTGCAGCCTTTTTTCCTAAAAATCTGGAAGATTCCATGAAATTTCCCTTCTCCTGTTTTCCTTTCGGCATTTTTTCCTAAAAATCTGGAAGATTCCGTAAAATCTCTATTCTGCTGTTTTTCCTTTGGCCTTTTTTCCTAAAGATCTGGAAGATTCCATAAAATCTCCACTCTCCTGTTTTTTCTGCAGCCTTTTTTTCCTAAAAATCTGGAAGATTCCATGAAATTTCCCTTTTCCTGTTTTTCCTGCAGCCTTTTTTAGTAAAAATCTGGAAGATTCCATGAAATTTCTCTTGTCCTGTTTTTTTCTGCGGCCTTTTTTCCTAAAAATCTGGAAGATTCCATAAAAGCCAATCTGGAAGATTCCATAAAAACCCTGGAGCTGGGTTTTGATGCATTTGGTTTAGTCTGGAATCACCTGGAAGTTGTTTTCCCTGCAGGAATGATCCCTAAATCCCACAAAACCCCGTTTGGGAACAGCACCATTCCCTGGGAACCGCCAGCCCATGTTTTTTGGGAATATCCAGCTTTTCCTTGGTGCCATTCCCATGGATTTGGCTGGATAAAGCGGGAAGGGATTCAAATACGGAATGTGCTCCTCCCTCCTCCTCCTTTGAGGTGACTCCTGATTCCCAAACTTCTCAAACTTTGGGATAATCCGGGTTGATTTAGGATTCAATGGCTCCTCACAGGAGTTTTTCCACCTCCAAGCAGAATTTTCCACCCTCCTGGAATCTCCAAGGTTTTTTTTGGCTCTTTTCCCACCCCAGCCTGAGAGGATGTGGGCGATCTTCGCCGTCATGGTGCTGTTTTCCGACGGCGTCGGCGACATCCGGAGCCTCCTGGAATATTTCCGGAGCTGCCGCTCGGAGCTGGCGCCGCTGGAGGCGACCGAGGTTCTTCACTGCATGGCCACGGTGCTCCGTGCCATGAGGGACCGGAGCATTCCCGTCTCCAACAGGTCAGGAACTTCCCATTCCCGTTCCCATCCCCATTCCCATTCAAATTCCCATCCCCATTCCCATTCCCATTCCCGTTTCCTTTCCCATCCCCGTTCCCATCCTCGTTCCCATCCCTGTTCCCTTTCCCATCCCCATCCCCATCCCCATTCCCATTCCCATCCCCATCCTTATTCCTTTGCCCATCCCCATTCCCATCCCCGTTCCCATCCCCATTGCCATTGCCATTCCCATCCTCATTGCCATCCCCATTCCCATTCCCATCCTCATTCCCATCCCCATTCCCTTTCCCGTCCCCATTCCCGTTCCCATTCCCATTCCCATCCCTGTTCCCATTCCCTTTCCCATTCCAATTCCCTTTCCCATCCCCAATTCCCATCCCTGTTCCCATTCCCATCCCTGTTCCCATTCCCTTTCCCATTCCAATTCCCTTTCCCATCCCCAATTCCCATCCCCGTTCCCATTCCCATCCTCATTCCCATTCCCTTTCCCATTTCCATTCCCATCCCCGTTCCCATTCCGTCCCTGCTGGCTCCAATCCAGCCTTGGAAATTCCAGGAATGAAGCAGCTGCAGCTTCTCTGGAAATTCCTTCCCAAAATCCCACCCCAATCTCCCCTTTTCCAACCTGGAGCCATTCCCTGGCTCCTGCCCCTCCAGGCTTTTCCCAAATTCCAGCTCTCCCGGAGCCCCTCCAGGCCCTGGAATGTGCTGGAAGCTCTCCCTGGATCCTTCCCTTCTCCAGGAGAACATTCCCAGCTCTCCCAGCCTGGCTCCAGAGCCTGACATTGGATCCATCTCCTCTCCAAGGAATTGATGGACCCAGGGCCTTCCCTTGCAATCTCAGGAAGCCACCAAGGCTCTCCCTTCCCTTTCCCTCTCTTTCCCATCCCCATTTCCCAGAAAAATCCCTCGGGATGGATTCGGAGCCTCCCAAATCCCAGAATCCCGGAATGCTTTGGGATGGGATCCAGGGACCTTCAATCCCATCCCATTCCAATCCCACCATCCCAGGCTGCTCCAACCCTTCCCTGGTCATTCCCGGGATCCAGGGGCAGCCACAGCTGCTCTGGGAATTCCAACCCAGCCAGGAATTCTTTCCCAAAATCCCATCCATCCCTGCCCTCTGGAATTCCCCCTTATCCCATCACTCCTTTCAGGGTTCAATACTCAAAAAATTCCAATTTTTCCTAAAAAAAAAAGCAGGATTGAGAGAAACTTCCTGCTCAGCTCCAGGAATTGAATGTTTTTATTACCTCCATAAAATGGATTTATTTGACTTGGTTCCATTGGAGCTGCTTCCCTCGTGATCCCTTTGTTCCCAAAAAAAACCCTGGGATCTGAGCAGAGATTCCATCAGTGAGGATGAGGATGGAGGACACGGAAATCCATGGGAGAAAACTGGGAAGGAACTGGAGTGGGAAATGGACAGGGAAAGGTTCATCCTCTGCTTCCTGTGGAAAACTGGGAATTTTTCCTGAGGAAAATTGGGAATTTTCTTTGGAAAGGTTCATCCTCTGCTTCCTGAGGAAAACTGGGAATTTTTCCTGAGGAAAATTGGGAATTTTCTTTGGAAAGGTTCATCCTCTGCTTCCTGAGGAAAATTGGGAATTTATCCTGAGGAAAATTGGGAATTTTTCCTGAGGGAAATTGGGAATTTTCTTTGGAATGTTTTTCCTGGATAAAGTCGATCACCTGCACAAAGTCTGGCAGGATGGCCCTGAGCAGCACCAAAATCCAGGGATTTTGGATTTTCCATCTCCTTATTAAAATTAATTTTAAAAAATTAATTATTAAATTTATTAATTTATTAAAACTAATTTAAAAATTAATTATTTCATCATTTCCTGTAAGGCTTTTTAAATTTTTTTTAATTATCCAAGTGGAAAATTACTAAATAAAGAAATAAATAATAATTAATAATACTAATTCTTAATAATAATAATTAATTCTTAATAATAATAATTAATATTAATAATTAATAATTGGCTGCAGAGGTTTAATTTATCCTGAATGATTTCTCAGTGGTAATTCCTGATTTATCCCTTTATTTTTATTTTTTTTCCAGGATTCACTACAATATTTTCTATTGTTTGTATCTGATGGAAAATTCCTCTGGAATTGCTCAGCCTCTGGAAGAGGGAAGAGAGGATTTGTGTTCCAGGTATCCCAGCAGTGCCCTGAGGGAATTCCAAACATTCCCTGGGAGCAAAAATTCCACAGCAGGAAAAGGTGGAGATGGAGCAGCTCCACAGCTCCTCCTGCTCCTCAGCACATTCCCGGGAATTCTCCCAGGAAAAGCAGGATTGGCCCTTCAAGCTGGAAGTTCGGAATTGCTGGGTTTAATTCTCTGCTGGGTTTGTCTTGGGATCAGGGAATGGTTTGGGAATCATGG